AAGAGCCATTACTGTCAGAACTTATTCCATTAGCTCTTCTGGTTAAAGGCTGCAGAAAACTGGGCTTTCTCAGTAGTCAGGCAGACCGAATCCTGGACCGTTCTGGCAGAAAGCTCACAGTTGATAACAATAAAACAGGTACTGAGGTTTGGGTTTAGTACAAATGGCAGCTCACTGTCTACGTGTCAAACACCACAAACTTTAACAGTAAGAAATCAGCATCTTTCAGCCTCATTTGCTCTGGCATGCGTCTACATGCCAAACAAAGGCTCGAGCTGTTGCCATTTCCACATCTTTCCCATCACAAAACTATTCACAATAAAGCCGATAAATCTGAGGCTGCGTGTGTTTTGTCAACATTTGATTTGTGTGCCTTCGTCAACATCTGCTCCGACTTAACTTTGGTGAATTATTTTGAAAGACATCAAATATCTTTAGCTGTATTTCACTGTCACAGGAGCCTGATCGAGCTAAATATGATTCCAGTGCAGTTTACAGTCTTGAAAAGATGATTCAGAAAACAAAAACAGTTCTCTGGAAGCAGCATATCTGTCTAAGGAGCAGGTTTAGACCTCAGGTCCCCCAAAAATAGATTTTTTCTTAAACTAGAGCACAGAAAATCGGCAATGCTGCACCATTCTTCAGGGTTGTGCTGAACGAGTAAATGAATTAAAAATGATTCCACTGCAGTTTAAAGTCCTAAAAAGATGATTCAGAAAACAAAAACAGTTCTGTGGAAGCAGAATCTCTGTCTGAGGAGCAGGTCTGGACCTCAGCTCCCCCAAAAATAGATAAAAGAAGTGACAGAATTGTGATTATAAAGCGTTTTTTTTTGTGCGTGAAAATGATTTCATATTCTTTTTCATTGTTTTGTGGTGTTTTCATTGGGAGCCATACCTAAAAACTGATATAATGTAGCTCAGAGATATATACTGAGAGTTGTTTTACTGGTAGCAAAAAAAAAAATACTACTATGCACTGGAGAGATGTAAAACCACCAACTATAAGTGAATGAGTCCAGAGACTGAGACATGTTTACAGGATGGAGAGAATGAGTAACTATGGACACTTTTGTACAAAGATGGACTCGGATTTCAGAATATTTGGGTGTCTGATGGATTTGGTATTTGTTTGTCTTTAAATGTATACTACTTGAGTTTTTGTCAGGAGATGTTATGTAAAATTACTAGAATTATTAAATAAACGTTGATTAAATAAACATCGCTTTTGATAAAAGCGTCTGATAAATGCATAAACATAGACATAACCATAAACATAAAAAGTTCTAAAAAAAATTTTAAAAAGATGTTTTCTGAAACTGGAGCACAGAAATCGGCAATGCGGCACCGTCCTTCAGGGTTGTGCTGAACGAGTCTGTGTGCATTTAGGGTGGCAAATGTGGCTTTAGCTGCTAAAATCAGCACTGACTGGAACAAATGAGACATTTACCGCATCCCCAAACGCCTGGGAGAAAAATGCTGTTATTACACAAGCCTGCTTCTGCATTTTAAGGAAATTATTAGCATGGAAACAGCTGACTGATGTCATTTGAGTTTAAATCGGAGGATTTACAACTAGCCAGACCTGAATCTGCACGAGGCTTCAGGTTTAAAGGTGTTTAAA